TTTAAACAATGTTATATCGGCCATAACGCCCCTTATGCTCCCATAACACCTCTCATTGAAACCCTGGACGTTATTAAAGCAATCTAAGCCTTGTTAGTGGATTTTGGTGTTTGTGGTCTTAAGAAGGAAGGAGAAAAGCTTTAAGAAACGAGTGGAAGCCAAGGGAACCCGATTTTATGCACCTTCTACAGTTCATTGAAGGTAAAAAGTTCTAACCTTGCTCACTCATTTGTTAGATCCCTCTGTGGGGTGATTTTGGGCTTTTATAAGTCATTTTGGTGGCCAACCATGTTTGCAAACATTGTTGGGGGTTAATGCTTCTGAATCATGTCATTAAATGGGTCACTAGGCAGATTTGGGTTGCTTTTTCACCCATGAAAGGTCCCATGCATCATAGGAGCTTGTTTTATGTCTTTTTGAGCGCAAAGTCCCATGCAAGCACGTAAAGTTTGTAACTTTACGTGCTAGATCGATTGTAGAAGCTTGGATCTATCTTTTGATCAAAGATTGTACATCAGAAATCGAGGAATTAGAGTGTGGACATGACCGACTCGACGAGTCCATTCCTGGGACTCGACGAGTCCGAGGCTTTGAGTCCCATATCTATTGAGGGTCAAAGGAACCCAATTGAGTGTTAGAAGTGTTGTAACCGGACAGAGAGAGTTACCCAACGCATTGGACGTGATTTTAGACTTGGAGTTCATGGGACTCGACGAGTACTAGAACAGACACGGGGAGTCCAAGGCAATCTTCTTAAGAATGAAGATGAACTCGACGAGTTGTTCATACAACTCAGCGAGTCGAGGACAGGACTTGTTCTTCAGATGAAGGTGGACTTGACGAGTGTTCATACAACTCAGCGAGTCGGATGAGTTTCATGCGATGTTCATATGAGAGAGGAACTCGTTGAGTCGATGCCAACCTCAACGAGTCGAGACGTGGATAAGGACGAGTAAACGGTGAGGGACTCGACGAGTTGATGACCCAACTCGGCGATTCGTGTCAACTTGAAGTTGACTTTGACTGGACTTGGGCTGACCCTGTTTAGGGTTGTACGTGATGTGTGTTGATTTGAAGGTTATCGTGTAGCGATCGAGGAGTCGTAGGGAGTCGACTTGTGCGCCGATGATAATTCAAACACTGCACGGCATTGAGGTGAGTTACCTTCCAGTAGGGGTGGGTCTAAGGCCACAATTCCGGCCCACCAAAAAGGGGTATTTAGAAGATAATGGTCTTTGTGATAATTATCTTGGTCTAGTTATGTGTTGGTTATGCGATTTCTCTAGATGATATGTTATGTGTATAGTAGGGATTAGTTTCCCTAACAGTGGTCCTTAGGACCCAAGGGTAGGTTAGTACCTGGATATGCCTGACTGTATGTTTATATATGTTGATTGTATGCTAGTAGTAGGGGTGAAATAGTCCCCAGTTACCGGTTGAAAGATACCGATGATGGATACCGGTTGAAAGATACCGATGTTGATTACCGGTTGAAAGATATCGATGATGGTTACCGGTTGAAAGATATCGATGAAGGTTACCGGTTGTAAGATACCGATGAAGGTTACCGTTTGAAAGATACCGACGATATTGTATGGTATGTTGTATGATCGGGGAACTCACTAAGCTTTGTGCTTACAGTTTTGGTTTTGGTTTCAGGTACCTCTTCGTCGAAGGGGAAGGAGCTGGCGGTGTACCAGCGCATCACACACGCACATGGTTTTCGTAAGGAATTTTTGGGAATGTACTCTGATTTTCATTACTTTTGACGTTATGATTTGGGACACAACAATATGATTTTGTGAAGTGTTGTTTATTTGACAATATTTTGGTAAAAATGTTTATACAATTGTTAATTATAAAATAAAATTTTCGGACTTGAATTTTGGGATGTTACAATATATGTTGCTGCAGTTACTTCTACCAGATTCTTTCAGGTCTTAAACAATTATCGTCTTTTCAAAAACCTCCGTAATGTAGGTTTATTTGATATTTTGTCCATGAAGTATGAGTTTATGTTTTACATCAGTTTTAGGTAAGTGAATGAGTTTACCTTTTTTTTTTTTTGTCAACTTTGTCACTCTTTAGAAAAATAATGTTTCATAATTTATCAATACTTAAGTTCAAAAAAATAATATTGAAATGAAACTTTTAAAACATAAAGTTTGATTTTTTTAATTTCTTAGTCAAAAGGACCATTTTGACCTTTTTATCCGATTTGATATTTATTTTTTTTGGAATTTGACGCATTTAAACAGAAAACAAATTTTTTTTATTTGATACAAAACTCTTAAAATAGGAAATATAATTTTTTTGCTCAAAGTATTCATTTTTACCATTTTGATCAATTTGCCCATTTTCGTCGATTTGAGATTTTTTTATTTCTTTTGTCATTTTAACCATGTAAGCTAAAAAATAATGTATTATAGCAATTAACTTTCTTGATATATGCACATGCTATTGCAGGTATATGGAGTTAGTTAAAACTATGGTTTGGAGATTTCTGAGTTTGGAATTAAACCCAATAATGGATTAACACGGCAAATGACAAAAGAAATGGTGATAAAGAACTTCACAAATATGTTCACCATTTTTTATTTTGATTTCTTAATTTTTAATATCTATATTAGTTGAAGTGTGGTAATCCGCACTATATTCTTCAATGTAAGCCTATTGGACTATGCATAAGAAATGAAGCATATGGTTCCAATTGTTGTAGGATATGATTATTTGCATTTAGTTTTCACAAGCACAGGGTAACAAAAACAGAAATATAATAACATTTTCCATGAGAGAAATATGATAATAGTATCTACATCCATTGACCATTCATGTGGCATATCCAATCCCGCAAAGCGGGACTCTTCCCTAGTTATTAATTATTTAAGGGATAATCACGAAATTGATCGTGATATTTAACAAAGTGATCTCCTTTTATACTTAGTACAAAATGATCACAAATTCCTGAACTTGCCATTTATATGAAATGAAAAAATGGTCCATACTATTTATGTAACACCCTCTGCTATGACATATTTGAAATCATATTTAAGAAAATCATTTGTTAAGGTGTTCCCAAAAATATTCAAAGTTTTAGTTTGTGGAAAAGTATTTTGGTCCCAAAATACTAAACTTAATTCAAGTTTGAATACTTATGAAGTTGTTAACAACAACCATATCAAAACAGGATTCAAGCTCACCACACATTACATAGCCTTCTAAGAGTCTAAGCTAATCTCTAACTCAAGCTAGGATCTTCAATCTGAACACACATTAAAATAAGTTAGACAACAAAATTACCTAGTGAGTTACCTGAAGTTGGTTCATTCATAGTAAGGGATAGCAATCCAATCTTACTCAAACCAAGCCTCTAAAAACAGTTTAAAACACAAACAACATTTGGCATTTAATAAGCCACATCATATTGATGGGTCTATATGCCCAAAATATTAATTTCCAACAATACTAGTTCAAAGCAAATAGAACACTTGGGTTCAAGAATTCCAAATTAAACAACTGTCTTATATACCCTAAAATTAGATTTAAACATTTTTGTTTCTAAAGAGGGACATGTAAGTCCCATATATACAAAAGGGTATAATGAGTTCATAACAATAAGTATGATGAAATGCATGCAACTACTCTCAACCATTTGTTAATCTCATATGTCAAACTTACTAGCAAACATCACATGAATAGAGCTTATGACAGACAAAACTGTCAACTTTAGCACTAACATCCAACAACAAGGATTGCTTTTTGGATATAAAGAGCTCATGACAGATGAAACAACCAACATTTTCACTTATATCCACAAAAAGGCAATATGGGATGTTTACCTAGGCCATAAAAGGGTATCTAGCCTAAAATTGTGTACATGAGGATTATCAAGAAATCTACTAAAAAAAACAATACAAAATAGATGGCAATTTGGACATACTGTATTTCACGCTGATACCCATCCTACCATGGTATGCACAAGTGGGATGCATAAAACAATTTCCAAAAGTATAGTTTACATAGAAATCAATGTATACATATAATAAGAGTAGATAGAAAGATTCTTTACAGAAAAGTAAATCAAACAATGAATGCAATGATTAAAGTTGATTTGAATGATTAATAATCAATGCCTTAGAAGAGCTCGATGAAGAACTTCTATTGTAAAGACATGGTAGGGAAGCACACCAATGATTTTGTTTTCTAATACGATACATGCATGAAATATTTAAAGCCTAAACCTAGCAACATCAAGACAGATGGACATGCCTAATCCGTAAAAAGGCTAACTACATACATAACAAATTTTACACAATCTACTAAAAAACCCAACAATCTCCCCCTTTTTGTCAAATAAGGAATGCAGATTCTTCAGTTCTGTTGGTGCTTTTGAACTTTGAAAAGTTTTGGCATCATTCCCAACAGAGTTTTGCGAACCAAGATGTACCAGTTGATGATATTTGAGAAACATTTCTTGTCCCCAACACTGTTCGCTTTGCACTGAGACATTAACTCCAAAATCTATGAAAGAAGCAAACTCTATGAAAATCAACATAAGCTCTTTCTTGTATTTGAAATGACATACTCCAATCATCCTTTTGTATTCTCCCCAACTTCATATTGTCAAAATCTTTCGAAGCTTCCTTGGGCATTACAGATGGTTTCTTCCTCAGAACAGCTGCTATCTTTACATCTATTTTACTAACTTCCTGGATGTACGAGACCAATATCCTTTTGAGATGTGCCACAATTGGTTCAAATTTATGTTCATCCTTCAGCAAGAGATGCAATAGAGAAATCCAATCAAAAGGATCCAGGCACGTCAAATCAGCCAGTGTAAATTCAAACATTGAACTTGCAGCCCCTTGAGCAACTTTGAATTTGGAATTAATAAAGCTCTCGGTTTCAATAGGGCCAAAAACCTTCACAACTATTATTTTCTTTGAACTTTAGGTTTCGTACTGTGGCTTCATGAGCTTAATATAAAACAAGAATAACATCTAATAAGCACCATTTTCTGAGAGAGGAACATTCACAATTTTGTCAAAGCAACAAAATTGAAAGGCCTTCAGAGTAATAGGCAGGCCAAGCTGCGAATTTTGTGAGTTCTCAAATTCAAACGACACAACATGTTCTAGCCAATAAACTCTTGGGTTATCAATGGCTTCACTCAAGATGTGTTCCATTGACCATAAAGGGAAAAGAGTTTTCTCAGTCTTCAAAGTTTCCTCAGCTTCATGAACTGCATTCTCTCGTTCTTTATCCTCCCTAGTAACTCGTAGGTTTTCATCAATTTTAGCATCACGAGATTTACGCGTTAACTTTTCATTTTCATATTCTTCTTCTTCCTCATCTTCATCATCAACCAATTTCTCTTTTCCTTTTGATGCCTAAGCTACATTATCCTTCAAATCATTTGACTTTGGATTTTGTTCTTGATCATCACCACCATCAGTTGCTTTTTAACCACCAGAAGTTCTCCACCTTGTTTTGGAATTGTAAAGGATTCTGAAACACCCTCAGTTTGATCAAGCATGGAGAAGATGGGCTTCAATTTCTCAGCAAGATGCCGATGAACAAAGACTGTGAGGAGTGAATCATGAGTCTCGATGATATTATGCAAGTGAGCATTAACATCAGCAACACAACTCTTTATTACATATTTTTTGGATTTGAGCTCATTAATCTACTAGTTTGCATGAGATAACTTCACAGAAAGAACCTTCATCTTTTCGGTTTTAACAAGGAGTTCATCCATGATCTTATTTTCAATTTCCAGGTCTTCTTGAAGCTTTTCGATTTTGGAGGTGTTGGTTGTTTGAAACTCCGTATTATCAACCTAGATATCAGTACGAACCTTTGCAAGAGCTGCTTTTTCTGTTTGGAGTGCAGAACCAAGGCTTGTAATTACTATGTTTGCAGAGGTTGTGTTTCATTCCAAAGAAGTTTGGAAGTCTTCCATAAATTTTTTAACATCAGAAAGTAGTTTATCGGCCTTTTTGGTCGTTTCCTTGCAAGTTTTTGCATAATCCTCTACAACTTTGTTGGCTTTGTCAAGGTTCACAGCATGCTTTTTCATCAAAGTCTCAAGTAAACCCTTGTGAGAGTCATGATAATATTCTGAGCTGGAGGAGGACTTGGATGAATCAATCAAGGTATCAAGCTTTTCTTGAAGAATCTTGAACTGACAGTGGGTTAAATGAGCATCATCATCACTAGATTGCTGAACGTTGAACGGACTATAGTGGAAATCATCAAAAATATCCTGATCATCACCAAACATAGTATCTGGATCATCATGACGAAGTGGTGAGATGGGAGTAAAGTGAACACCAAAAGAGACACCAGAAGCACCTGCCCCCGTATCAGATACGTTGACAGAGACATGAGGTGTACTAGTGGTTGTTGTCATTGTGGATTCGGTGTAGAAGGGTATAGATAATGGAATTGAAACTTGAGGTTGAGAAACTCCCACAGAGACATTTGGACATGGAGCTATTGTGATTGGGGTAGTTGTAGCAGCAGGAGAAGGTGGAGAAAAATCCTAGAAAAATTCATCTGTTATGGGAACAGAAGTTGGAATTGAGAAAGTTACCTCAGGATTGGTTATTGATGGCTCCAAAACCATGGGTTGCGAAGACACAATAGTATCCCCAGTTCCATGTTTAACGTCTTTTGGTATATGAACATCGGAGATGGTGTTAGACTCCAAATCCTCATCATCACTTGGTGAAGGTGTCCTTGGCTTATGAGTGGATCACATTTTCTTTTTTTGGAGTTGCAGCAGGTTTAGAGGGACCTACTTTTGTCTTTTTCTTCTCACCCTTCTTTGGCTTGTTCGCATCCTCCAAAGCCTTTTGCATCTCCGGGGGTCAAAGGACGAGGACCTGATGCAGGAGTCTTCCTATACTCATTGATAAGCTCGTTACCAGTTGGAACGTAGTTAAGCATAGCCTCTGGAAGAGAGCCGATAAATGCCAACTTCACATGATCTGACACAATGAAGTTTAAGGTATGGAAAACAAGAATAGCAGCAATAGTTGAACCCTCTATCACTGGAATGTTGTGACGATTAATATCCCAATGAACTATGATGGACCAAAAACGGGCACACAAAATTTTTGTGTGTCGTGTAGAAGAGAGAGTACTCTGTACAAGTTCAGCCCACAGAACTGAGCCATAATCCAATTTGATTCCAGCATAGATCCCATAAAAATGGTGAGAAAGAGATTACTGGCATTGTCGGAACCCGTTACCCTCTCTGAGAAACTTTAAAAAATTAGGGTAAATAGGCCATTCCACATGGGAACAAGGTTGGGCTTCTTGAACTTGGATAAGATAGCAAGATTGTCCAGATAAACCATCTAGTAGAACGTCTCCAATATGGCAGAAGAAGAGATAGCTTCAGGATCGATCAAATACATAGGAACATTAAACCCTAGCAATCGGCTAAAACATGCCTTAGTGATGGAGTTTTGTACATATCTAACCACGCAAGTAATAATCGATCCACTTTCCTGATAGCGAGCTGTGGAGAAAGCTTTTAATAGATGAACTAAATGAACTTGTTTATCAGCGAGAGATCGTGAACCACAGGAGAATGCCGTAGACAATAGATCAATGGATGGAGAAAGGCTTCATACTTGGATGGATCAAGGTCTAAGATGAGATTCTGGTTAGCCTTGATGCCCAGTAGCCCTGATGAAGGAGTCTGATCAGCAGTAGATGGAGATTTTGATAAGACAGCCATGGAAATCGGTGGGTGAAGATGATGAAAAGTAGTGAAAGAAAACGGTTTTCTTGCGCTAGAAGGAGAAATTCTTTGAAAGAGGTGAATGAGAATGAAGCTTTGAATTTCCTTATATACGTCATTAGTGGTGAGAGAAAACTAGCATTTGGTGCTCCATAATCCCTAAAAAAGCGTTTAAAAAGGCATGATAGGTTGGCGTGTGTCAGGCATGTGTCAGGCGGCGTGATGTCAGGCTACGTTTGAAATCTTCATGCATCAAAATTACAATCTTATCCCTTAAAATCCACCATTTCAGTTTACACATTTTTTAGCAGTTCGCCAATTCCTATTCTCCGAATCTGAAAGTAACCATTCATAATTATTAAGACCAGGCTTTTTGAAAATCACAAGGATTTATGTGCAAGAGTGTGGCAAAGATAAAGAAATAAATTAAGATATACATGTGGGAATCTGTGATGTCATAATAGACATAAAAGCAGATGGATCCCGGGTAATGATCTCTTCCTTTGGAGTCAAGAGAGACTCGGAAGTGCTTCTGTGGCATTCCATTGAATTACGGCCATTTGCTATTTAAGAAATAGTGAAATGTTTCTTCTTATTTAGGCTTAAGGGTGGCTTCATCTTCAACCAAACTCGGAAACTTAACTTAAGTGTGAACATTCAGAAGTACTTGTCTGACCAGTGTAACCATAAGAACAAGTATGCTTTGGAATTATCTAAGTGGCTGGATAATATAGAAATCTCAAGAAAAATAAAAACTTGATCTTATGGGAAGAAATGTATTAGGTCAAGAATATTTCATTAAGATCTCGCGAAAACAAAATAATGAGATTTAAAGGTATGAACCACGAGGGTTAAGATTTGTCAATTCCTTGGTGAAACGTCTTGAACATAGTAATTTTTCATAGTCAATACATAAATTTGTTTTTGATTTTGGGTTTCACTCAGTTCGTGGTGATAATGAATTTAAGATCATGAACACATAAGTTGTGTAACCATAAACCTCAACGGTAATTCCAGAGAGTCTTAAGGGTTACGAGTGTGAAAATGAGTGTGATATGGAGATATATTAAAGGAGGTTCCAAAGGTATTAATGCACCTTTGCTATATTACGAATGACTAAGCAGTCAACTCTTAACTCAATATGAGAAGAGTAAGGTACCTTAATGATATATGTGAATATTAGCCTGATTGGGAAGAAATGATTGGTATTATCAATTCATTAAGGCTTCAAACATAGAGTCTCAGAGGCTTCGGACAACATGCAACAACATGCTTCTAGGGACACTTAGCTAGTACATAGAATTGGAGTTATATACCTGTCCCTTCTTTTCGAATTGAGAGAACAAATTAATACCGGAGATAATAAAAAAATAACATACAAATAAATGAAGCATAAAATATTTTTATAGTTTTTATTTTTCTGAAAAGATAAAACAAAAACAAGAAAGAAAATATTTTTGTATTTTGGATTTTTCTTGAAAAGGAAATAAAAACAGATAAGAAAAATATTTTTAGATTTTGAAATTTTTTCTGAAAAGAGATAAAAACATAAAATAATTTTGCATTTTGAAGGATTAAAAAAATACATAATATACAAAGGATAGATGAGGTTCCGAATTGGAGTGTGAACAGTGAGTTAGTGGACTACGAACCATTCTGAGTGTTCGGACCCATTTGGAGTGTGAACAGTGAGTTGCGAATACATCTGAGGGTGTGAACTCGTTCGCATGTTAACCAATGCATTACGAATGCGAAGCTGGATTCAGAACAGAGTGTGCTTCAATCATACCTAATCCTTGAAGAATTCAATTGAAAGATTGTTCAGGCAAGGATTTCATAAAGATATCAATCAGTTGATTAGTAGATCTTACAAAGTGAATTTCCACATTTCCATCCTCCACATGATCCTTTATGAAATGATACCTCAATGCAATATGCTTAGTCTTGGAATGTTGCACTTGATTGTGGCAAATGCGAATTGCACTTTCAGAATCATGGTATAAAGGGATTCTCTTCATATTAATGTCGTAGTCCTGTAGATAACTTTAGATCCAAATGACTTGTGAGGTGCATGAGGCGGCTACAATATACTCAGATTCAACGGTATATAGGGATACGTATGTTTGGTTTTTCGATTGCCAACTTACGAGTTTGCCGTCAAGAAATTAACATCCCCCCAGTTGTACTTTTCTGATCCAGGCCACATCCTCTAAGATCAGAATCTGAGAATGCTTGCACAAAGAACCCTGAGCTAAAAGGGTACCAAATTTCAAGTGAGGAAGTTTGTTTAAGGTATCGAAAGATATTTTAACTGCAGTCATTTGGGGTTCACGAGGATTTTCCTAAAACCTGGCACAATAGCAAACATAAAACATAATGTTTGGATGACTAGTGGTTAGATACATCAATAAACCTATCATTTGTCGGTAGAGAGTCATATCAACAGTAGGTTTGTCCAAAGACGGTGTTAACTTTGTTCCGAATTCCATTGGAACCTTCACTTTCGAATCTCCCACCATTCCGAACTTCGTAAGTAAGGTCTTCGTATAAGCATGCTGATTTATAAATATACCCTCTTGACTCTATCTAATATTCAAAACAAGGAAAAAGTCAATCGGACCCATTGAGCTCATCTCAAACTTATACCCTCCTACATTGCTTGCACCCAATCAGAATGATCAAGAGCAATATTAACATTTTTCGGCTCAATCTTGGAGATAAACGAACTGAACATGCAAAATTCCATCTTGGAGAATAGTGCTGCCTGCTTCACTTTTTGTTGTGCTCTCGTAAGAACTCTTGAAGACGCTTCTCCGATAACTTGGGTTTTCAAATGATCTTGGTCCATTTGTTCAAAGGAGGATAGTACGGGTCATATGAGGGGTCCAATTCTGCATTTACATCTTCGAATTCTGAATGAACATCGGGTCATATGAGGGATCCAATTCTGCATTTATATCTTCAAATTCTGACTGAACATCTGAATCATTATTTTCTATCTCATTCTCCCCTCGAATGATGGATCTGGTTCTTCATTTAGAATTCGGTTCTCCCCTATATTGGACTTTCGTGGTTTACTTGAGGAGTTAAATGCTCCGCCCCCCTCCCCCCCCCCCAGAACAGGTGTGCTTGAGGTGGATGTGGAAGTGAAACCCTCTCCCAGAATTGGAGCATTCGTAGCTTGCGGTTGAGATGGAATGTTAGAAGCTTTCGGATATGGGGGCTCATTTTCAAGATCCTTGAGCTCGTCTTCATTATTATATGTTGCTTTGGATTTCAAAGAAATCACCTTTTCTAGCTTGTCAGAGAGGTTCATGAATTCGTTGTAGAGATTTGAGAGATGAATGACCATTGGATTCGTTATTGGAAAGATCTCCTCAGATTGACGATCTGATGTCTGGAACTTCTTTATATAAGTATTGTCGAACGTAACATAGTAGGCTTCTTCAATCCTCTTAGATTTCTTGTTGAGAACCCGATATGCTTTAAAAGTCAAGGAATAGGCCAGAAAAATACCCTTGTCAGCCTTTACACTGAATTTGTTCCTTTGCTCTTTAGAATTGAAGGTAAAACACCTGGAACCAAATACATGAATGAACTTGACATTAGGTTTGCATCTATTGATAATCTCATAAGGACTAACTGAAAGGCATTCATTAATGAAAGATCTATTTTAGGTGAAGGAAGCAGTTCCAATAGCCTTAGCCCAAAAGTAAAGCGGGAGATTTGAAAAGGACAACATGGTACTTGCAGCTTCATGCAAAGACCGGTTTTGTAACATCCGGGATTTGCAGGTATTAATATTATTTATTTTTTTGATTAATGGGCTGTTGTTGGTTTGGGCCAAGATTTTTGGGCCTTAAGTATTGGGCTAAGAAAGGGTGTATGCGGGGCGTACCATGCTTGGTATGCACAGTGTACTCAAGAAGTTGGGGGCGGGAAGGTCATGCATGTACGCCCAGTGTACCAAAGGGTACGCGCAGCGTACGCGCGCAGTTTCTAAAACCCTAACTTTTAGGGTTGATCCCTATTTAAAGGATCTTATGCCATTGGTCCAACCTCCCTCTCACCCTTATACAGCCTCCATGAAAACCCTAGCCCCTATTTGTGTGTCTTTGTGTCTTTGTCCCCTTTGAAAGCTTCTTTGGGTGATTTTGGTGTTTTAGAAGAAGAGGAGGTTGAAGAAGGAGCAAGGATTCGAAGAGGAGTTTCTAGATCTAGAAGATAAGCACCCTTTCTGACTCATTTGAGGTATCAAGCTTTAAACTTGATCATTCTATGTTTCGGTTTCATTTTGGGAAGTTTTATGTCACTTTTTGAGCTCCTTGTTGAGGATTCTTGAGCCTTGATGGTTTTAGAGCATAAGAGCTGTCCTTTTAGGCTCTTTAAGGCGCCTAAGGTCATAAAAATCGAACCTTGATGGTTAAGCCACAACCATGCAAGTGTTTGACACCATTAAAGTTTTTTAAAGGACCAAAATCGTATATTGAGAGCCAACCATGCATGCAAGCACATAAAGTTTGTGACTTTATGGGTTAGGAGGTCCTAAGGGGACTGGATCCATAGTTTGGATGTAAGGACTTATTGGATTAAGTCATAAATGAAGTCCCAAGGAAGCTGGCTAGTACGCTGAGCGTACACCATGGTACGTTGTGCGTACTGGTTCAACTCCCCGTTTTGGTCAAGGCCAGCGTACACTGGGCGTACGTTCCAGGTACGCTGTGCGTATGCATGCAGAGGGGATATATCGGGGCTTTTGGGCCTTAATGGACTGGGCCTAGAATATTGGGCTCCGTGGCCTATTATGGAGTATAATTTTGGACTTGGTAATCTGGAACTAGAGCATTAGGCCTATTAGGCCATAATTGGACCCTTTGGAATTATTATATTTGGACTTGGAACTTTTTGGACTTGTATTGGGCCTATTTGGGGGATACGGCCCAATTTAGAAATTGGGCAATTATTTGGCCCTTATGGATCCTTTGATGGGCCATAGG